TTATATTCTTATATGCATTTAAAATTTACTATTAATATCTAGGACATACTAGGAAATAATATCTTAGAGGGAATCCCAAAAAAACGATTGGATATCATCGCCTTCTAGCAAGGCACGAACAACTGATGTGACGCTGCAATTCCCATAGTTCTTTGATGTTCTTTGAGCTCCGTGGCCCAATGCCTACACTGAGAGGAGCCTTTGACCGTGTCCCGAACGCAGCAAAATTTGGGATGGTCCGTCAACAGGTTTCACGAAGCTGAGCCCCATTCTGGCGCACATTTCACATTGGCACAGTGCAGGCAAATGGTAGCGGAGCGTGGAGCTCCAGCAGGTATGGCTTGTTCCAATAATTGCGGCAGCACGAAAAGATGCCAATTGAAACAAAACGGCCCGTTGATGCTGGTGTTTGACGTGGCTTCACAAAAGCAGCAAGGGGATTGCGCAAGGGACAGCCATGATTGGTAGAACTCTTGGATTCGGTGCGATATGGCAGCATGATCATAGTATGTGTGCGTTCCAATTCGATGTTTATTGATATGTGCCACCTTTGGTCACCCAATGTTCCATGTTTCCAAGAGAATCAAACTTATGAGGTCCTTTGGAGGTGAAAAAGGTGAGCGCACAAATCAGCAGCTCGATGTGATGTATTGGGATTTATGAGAGCCAGCAGCAACGAAATGACTACAAAAGCGCCCCCAGCATACGATGCGAAGCAATCTTGGCTTCGTATGAGGATGCTATTGACGATTCGTGTGAGCTGGAAGAAGAGACGAGAGGACCAGCATTGAAAGACCGACCAGCAGGAGAAGCAGCGGTATACACAAGAGTCCTGGATAGAGACATGTTATGTTGAAGGCGAATGACCTGTCAGGTGCAGGAGTTGAATGCTTCAAGAGCGTTTTCTGGCCTTACTTTGTGAAAGGTGCAACTTAATAAAGGATGACCGGATTCCAGAGCTGGTTCTAGAGGCTTTTGAGCAGCTGGATGGACATCTTAGATTCTTAGATCCTGTGACACAAGCACATCCAATGCAAGTTCAAGCAAATACTAGGAAGGGAGGGTGAAGACGCGATGCGGTAGATAGTTCAGCCGCTCGTCCCAAACTGCGTTTTCAATGAAAGTTGCTAAATTTGCTTTATATAAACAGTCAACCTTGCCCCTGCGAGTCGTGGCAAGTCTAGCTCGCCCAGTTCTGCTCAGCCTCCTCCTGAGACCTGTCTCTGGCCTGCCAAACGTTGGTTCTGACGCGGGTTCATATCTACTTCTTAGTGACGCTGGGCGGAGGGCGACTTGAACAGAGTGCTCGTTTTTGAATTCCTTTCGAAGGGACGATGGAATCAGATTTTGACCAAATGACGACACCGCCTGTGACACAGCAAGCTTGACAGTTTGTTACAAGATTGAAAGCTGAATACGAGTGACAACTCCGTGAGGACACTCATATGGCGGCGCCACTCTGATCGACTCAGACCGGGTGTGAAATAATGTATGGAACCTTAGCAGAACAAAAGCCTTTTCGATGGGTGGGCCGCAGGTCTAAATGCATGTTGCATGCTGAGACATCTGCACATTGGCATCTGTCATATTTGCTTCGCAACAGGTGATCAAATCGCGCATAGCAAACCCGTCTGTCGGACGGGGCAGCCTTTCATTGGTGCGCACATCTTTTCGCGAGGTTTGGCCCCTCCAACGCCGCACAAGGAAACCACACTTCTTCTTATTTTTGTTATTCGTCTTCTTCTTTTTCTTCTTAGACCATGTCAAGGTTCTTTCTGAAACATATTCTTGAAAGACTGCATGCTTGAAATCTCTCAAATCCGATGTGCATGGTTGATGGAGCATGGCTATTCGTTTGCAAATCAGAAACAATGCATTTGGAACTGGATGGTGCTGCCTTAAGGTGGCGCACACATCTTCCCACAATGTGAGGAACTGTCTTGGTCGGCCGCGCCCAAGCCACACATCAATGGAACAAGAAGGAAACCACAACTTCTTCGACTTCTTCTTTTTCTTCTTAGACCACGTAAAACTCTTTCTGAAACATATTCTTGAACGACTGCATGC